AACCATCTTTTTATTTTTATAATTATATTGTAATTATTTTCAGTAATTTTGAAAATCACAAGTTGGATGTGCTTAAATCTGTCGAAAAATGTCAACCCCTCGCTCATTTTAGTCAGTTGGACCTGTTACAAAAATGGACTAGACATAATAACAGTCGTTATACCCGTCATTTTCAAACTGCAGTTGAAAAAGTGATTTGATCAAGGAAGGCACTTTTGATTTGACAAAATCCATCAAACCATTATAATCGAGTTTGAATGCATATACTTTGAATGCATATACAACATATAACCTGTTAATATATGGTAACCAGCGCGTGTTGTTTTGAAAACAGCGTTTTACTCCGCATCTTGCAAGATAATGGAATGATTCCATCAAGTCTAGATTGGAAAAGACCCAAGTGTTTTGCAAAGCTCCAACATATATTGCTAACTGACTGTCTGAATAATTCTCAGAACGGCTGTAACAACTACTTATCAAATGAATACATATAGAATAACAAAGAAAATAAGAAAATGTATACAAAATAAGTAGCCTTGAAAGCAGGAATCAAAGTAAAGAATATATTAATACAAAAGCTTTTGGTAATAATTTTGTAAATATTTTGAAAATAGACTGGTGAATATATTATATAGCAAATTGAGGTCATAATGTTTTAATTTTAGTTTTCAGAGGGGAGTATCAAGTCTGGAATGTGGGGCAGTCCGTGGTGGGTATATGCCTCAAGGCTACACTGAGTGTGTTACAAAATGTCTAGTTGTGGTTAAAGAGTAAATTCTATGTATTCTACTAAATTATGAATGGTATTTTAATTTCATTGGTATGTGTGTCTGTTAATAATTTTATTGATATGTTATGGTGTAATAACATCAATCAATCAAACACATTTCTAACAAACTAGAACGTCGTGAACACTTGAAAAGGTTTGATTTTTGAAAATGAATATTATCGCATTCAAAAAAATTACATGCTTTGTATATAAGCTGGGTTTTTTGCAAAAATAACCCCAAATGATACTAATTATCTATTTTACAGACTCACTCACTCACTCATCTTGCTTGACTTAAAGTTCTTTAATTCATGTCACACATACCCTTAATTTATAGATCCTTGTTACAAACAAACATAATCTGTTTAATTAATTGGCCGAATTTAAGTAATCCAAGGATGCTAAAATTTTATATATATTTAATGTTTGTCAATATAAGTTGTTATCAGTTTGTAATAACCAGTTGATACTAACTACCTAATTTGTATATTATTCTGGTAAAAAAACATCACACATTTATGTTTTATTATTATTAACAACAGGACACATCTACAAAAGTTACAAAGACTTTAAGGAGATCTAGTATTTTGATTAACAAAGATGAAGTAAGATTATTAGGAAATTCAAGAAGCATTAAAGGTAATGTACCAGTAATTGTTCAAAATGCCACTACATATACTGTCAGGTTTACAGGAAAAATGGCATTTTTTTAAGCTTTTCAGGTATCTCACAAATGCTAAAGCTTAAGTACCCAACAAAATCTTCACTTATCAAAACATCACCATTTCTCTGTTCACTAATAAACTTTTCAAAATGTGACAATGAATATTGAATTTCCCACTTTGACTTTTTTACACAAATGTAATATCTTCCTTTTTTGGTAGTTTTAATACAATTTTATAAAATTGAAATATATAAATTAATATATACCGGTAGTTTGTGGTTTTGGCCCTCTAGTGTTGAAATCATTTTTTTTTCTGTTTTGTTTTTGACTGATAATTTTGCTGGAATGGCCAATATGTACACAGAGCATGTTTGTAGTCGATCAGTTGTGATAGTAATACATTTTAACATTGTCTCAAACTCCAAAGCATGATGAAACTTTACCCAAACAGACCTCTAACTTCATCCCTAGAATTTTGTACAATCCTAAAATATTGCATTTGTCTCCATGTAATTACTATGACATTTCTGTGACTAATACACACCCCTATTGAATCAATTCTATTTGTTTCAGGATTCATAACGATAGCAATACCTACAGTGAAAAGAGAGCAAGGGGACTATCTTACAGCAACATTAGACTCTATCATTGAAAACACATCTAAAGAAGAAAGGAAGAAAACAACAATTGTTGTATTTTTAGCCGATGTCAATGAAGATAACAAAAAACAGATAGTTGACAAAATAAGAGAGAAATATTCTGAATACCTTTGGAATGGATTTCTGGAAGTGATCCAAGCACCCAAAGATTTTTATCCACCGCTTGAGAATTTGAAACAGAAATACGGTGATTCTGAAGCTCGGATTGCGTGGCGATCCAAACAAGTTGTGGATTATGCATTTCTTTTCAGTTACTGCAAAGATATGTCTGATTTCTATCTCCAGCTAGAGGATGATGTAATCTCCACTCCAAAATTTCTTGCTTCCATTCAAGCATTTATAAGTGTTAATTCAAAAAGTACCTGGGTGACTCTTGAGTTCTCGGAGCTTGGTTTCATAGGAAAACTGTACCATTCAGAGGACCTTTCACAGCTTTCTGAGTTTGTATTGTCATTTTACGATGAACAACCCATCGATTTTTTATTACGATATTATTTAGCTTTAAAAGGCCAGTCAAAACCGCTTGTTCATTTGCCAACTTTATTTCAACATATTGGCCAACAGTCTTCGCTTAAGGAAAAACAGCAAGAATTGAAAGATCGTTTTTTTGAAACTGGTCTGAACAGATTAAATGGTGATAATCCACCTGCCAAAATTCACAGCACATTACGTACATTCAGTATGTATCTACCACAGCTTGCTTACAGCTCACAGCCTGGATACTTTTGGGGTGTCGCACCAAAAGTCGGTGATTATATTTTTGTAATATTTGATGATGCTGTGAGAATATCGAAAGTTGTTTTTGAAACGGGCCTTGACAACCACAAAGAGGACTTCCTGAGGAATGGGAGATTAGAAGCCAGTCCTAAAGTGGTTGGAGAGACTGAAGGAAAATTACCAATATGTTCTGATTATGTGTACCTTGGAAGTTTTGAGAAAGGACAAATTGAAGTATTAGATGTTGACAAGAAAACCAAATTTGCTGTGAAGTGTTTGCGAGTCAGTGTAACCGAGGATCAAACAGCTTGGATGATTCTTCGTGAAATTGCTGTCTGGACAGTAAAATAAACTAAACTGGTCATAAAAATATGTTATTGAATTGTTGATAAAAATTCATGGGTGGTATTTTTTAAGCATATTTACTATGGGATATTTTTCAATAAAACATGTTCACAATGTTTGGGCACAATTGGGATTGAGTGTTCCATTTGATTATAACAGTGGGAATTGGTGTATAAAGCATTGTTAGATAGATTTATATTTATGTATTCCCAAAATGTCTATTTATATCTCAAAAGTTTCCCTCAGCAGTTCAATTATTAATAGTGGACAACATTTATTAATATTATTTCTATGGCATACTACCTAAAATCTGTATTAGAAGCCGCATCCCTAATAGAAGTCGCACTGATTCTTTTTGAATGATTGAGAAGCAAAAATTTCTCATATGTGTAGAAGCTGCATACCCTATGTTGCATTGTACCATTTTAGTAGAATCCACGGTTTCTAATACAGATTTTACAGTAGTCTTTATGGTGATGTACAAGTCACCCAGAATAAATAAAGATAATAAGTAAAATATGGGTATTCATTTCGATCATTTTTGAAACAAGAACTCTTTTGATGATAATGTAACTATAAGTGGAAACAACATATCCAACAGTAGATCTTTATATGAAAGTCGTATAAGGAACAAAGCAACTGAAAAGTATACTACACTAGATAGTCAAATCAATAAGAGAAAATAGTATTTCATAATGAATGTAACCATGATGACATATGTTTTAAAATGGTGTATTTTCTG